GAAGAAGCTTGACCCCATCCACTTGTCTGTCCAGACACAAGCAGAAGCTCGACCCTATCATACTTGTCTGTCCAGACACAAACCAGAAGCTTGACGCCGCCTACTTGTCTGTCCAGACACAACCAGAAGCTTGACCCCATCTTGTCTGTCCAGACACAAACCAGAAGCTTGACCCCATCTACTTGTCTGTCCAGACACAAACCAGAAGCTTTAGGGTTTAGGGTTTAGGGGTTTAGGGTTTAGGGGTTTAGGGTTTTACTTGTCAGTCCAGACACAAACCCCCGCACTTCCCGTCCAGAGAAGCTTTGACCCCATCTGTGTCTTGTCTGTCCAGACATAGACACTGCCGAAAAAATTGTCCAGACAAATAAACCCATAACCTTCTCGCATGTCTGGACGCCACCCTCCCCCCCCCCCCCCCCCCCCCTGTTCCAGCTCCCCCGCCACTTTGTGCAAACCCCCCACTAAAAAGGTTTTTCTATGCAATTTTCTGAAGAAACGAAGTTTTGATTTTCAAAATAGTATGAGTTCGGAATGTTTGGTTATCATTGCACAGCCCTTCAACGCATGCTGATAAATAAAAGTGATGTATATGGATCTGGGCAATGTCTGGACAGACATGTTGAGGTTTAATGCTTGGACAGGCAGGTCATGGTGCGATGTCTGGATATAGAGAAAATAATGCCTGGAGAGGCAGGTTACAATGGCAATGGGCAATGTCTGGACAGACAGGCAGATCACCAATTGTTTTCTGTGATCTGATATATAATCAATTTTTAGGAGGGTTACATATATATATATATGTATATACAAACATGTATATGTTTTAACGCTTTCTTCGATCCATGATTCTAAATTTTCAAGTTTTCAATCTTGAAAAAAATCTTGAATTTTCTGTTTTGCTTGGCTTTCAATCTTGAAAAAAATCTTGAATTTTCTGTTTTGCTTGGTTTTCAATCTTGAAAAAAATCTTGAATTTTGTGTTTTGCTTGGTTTTCAATCTTGAAAAAAATCTTGAATTTTAAAAATCTGCGCTTGGTTTTGGAAAAAACTTGAATTTTCAATCTTGAAAAAATCTTGAATCTTGATTTTTATCGTCTCAACTATACGAAATACACAAAAATCGCAATCTTGAAAAAAATCTTGAATTTTTCGCATTTTCAAGCTGCGCTTGAAAAAATCAAGTGCACTTGATTTTTTTCAAGTTTGGAGCCTATGGGAACTGTAAGCTGTGTAAGTTTAGTACCAAGAGGCGTGACGAGTGGCTTCTCCAGGCGACTGTCAAACCTGAGAGAAACCCTAAGGTTCCAAATAGCCCAAAGTAGGTATTATTGACAGACTTTACACCCCAATGTAGGTGTTATTTGTATACTTGGAGCCCTAGGGAAAAGGTAAGATGTGCAGCTCAGAGTGAGCATCTGGGATTAACACATTCGGTTTCGTTCATGGTATTGGGGCCTCTACTCAGCTCAGCACCCTGTCAGGTACCGAAGTTACTAGCAGGACGCGGACTTCAACTTCGACAGCGGCTCAAACGGATGTGCTGCAAAGGCGCAGAATCACAGGAACCGACAGCGCCATGGCCAGAAATGCCCCAATCTCGCAAGGCAGTGTCGTGATGTGGGTTTACCCCCCTAAAACTTGGCATGTTCCCCTTCTACTAACAGTCCTGAAGAGGGATCATCGTACCCACTATGATAGCCCTTACTAGGGACTGTTGGTAGAAGGGGGAACACCCCAACCCAAAAACCCTAAGCCAATTTGGGCGGCTTAGGGACTCGGGGCTGAACACCCTAGCCCCAAAAACAGTTTACCTTGCATTTTTTAGTGGGATTCGACTCAGATCTTTCAAAACCGCTTAATTAAGGAATATACCCTAATTCATGTTAATGGTCCTTGGTATAAATTAGGGTATATTCCTTAAGTAAGGGGTTTTGGAAGATCTGGTATATAATAAAAGTGAAAGGTTAGCTACACAGTCCCTTAAAAGGGCTGAGGGTGGAGGGCGTGGGGATCGAGTGCCAACATCTGAGAGGAAAGAGGGCTGGTCAGAAGGATTCTCTCCGTCCTTCCATCGACAAGCCCTGAGGGTCCTAAACCCTATCCCTAAACCCTAAACCCTAAACCCTAAACCCTAAACCCTAAACCCTAAACCTAAACCTACGCCATCGGCTAAAAGGGTTTAGGGTCTTGGTTTAGTTTATGGTTCAGGGCATGGTTCAGGGCATGTACCTATATAGTATGATAAGTATTTTACTGAACCCAAAAACTACGATACAAGAACCCCATGAAGGCCCAAGTATGTACTACATTTGTACTTGAACCCTTAGGGAAGAAGGTGGAGGTTCTAAACCCTAAACCCTAAACCCTAAACCCTTAAACCCTGAGTCGCATGTGGAGGACGGTTAAGGGCTGAGGGTTTCGTGTTTTTGTTTAGGGCACGGCTGGGTCAACCATGCGTTTAGGGTTTAGGGTTTAGGGTTTAGGGTTTAGGGGCAGAGATAAGCCACTCAATCCAACCGCTGCCGGCACCTAAAGAATGTATGCGGTTTAGGGTGTAGGGTTTAGGGTTTAGGGTTTAGGGGTTAGGGTTTAGGGTTTAGGGTTTAGGGTTTAGGGTTTAGGGTTTAGGGTTTAGGGTTTAGGGTTTAGGGTTTAAGGTTTAGGGTTTAGGGTTTAGGGTTTAGGGTTTAGGGTTTAGGGTTTAGGGTTCAAACGACGTAAGCATCTGGTGATTTTTCAGGCTGCGGAGGCCTCAGGGATGAAACTCAGGACGAAGGACGTCAAACCTGAGTCTGGAAAAGGGGTTTAGGGTTTAGGGTTTAGGTTTAGGGTTTAAGGATAGGGGTTTAGGGTTTAGGGTTTTGGGATAAGGGTTTAGGGTTAGTTTTGGTGGTGTTTTTGGGGGTCGAGGGTTTAGGGCTTGCCACCGGCCAAGCAGGCTTGGGGTTTAGGGTTTAGGGTTTAGGGTTTAATTAGGGTTTAGGGTTTAGGGTTAGGGTTTTTCTTTTGCCATCCGCCTAGCGGACACTGATCGGGCCACATTGCAGGGCACCCACTGGAAGATCCGGGGTCAGGGTTTCTTAGTTGCTGAGTTCATAAGCCCCTAAAAGGTGTACACTTTCAGTTCTATAGGGGATTACAATGGGTTATAGTATCCCAAAAAGTGTAAAGTGCACTCACTCAGCTGCTAGGTTTCAGGGTGTAGGGCCAGTGTAGGGCTTATAAGGCCCCAAAAACCTTCTACAAAGTGCGTGCGGCCTTCCTCTGCCAAAAAAGACACTAAAATACGGGAGTCCTCAGAGCCTTGAGGTCATAGCAGCACTAGCACATCAACTGGCCCACAGGTGGGGTACTTTCCATGTTGCCCTTTGCTCGGAACTCTCTTATGAAAAATCGTTAGGAAGTGAACGCATGAACGGAACAAGCAAAGTTGGAGCCCAAAAAACCCATTTAAGAGATCTTGGGGTAGTGCCGCGATGATCCCTAAACCCTAAACCCTAAACCCTAAACCCTCTGTGTAAACGATTGATCTGGGGCTAGGTCTTCACGACTCAGGAGTCCTGGTCGCGAAGAGATTAAGGCTTTACCCCAAGGGTCCATGTACCTCATTAATGTTGGGTTTAGGGTTTAGGGTTTAGGGTTTAAGGTTTAGGGTTTAGGGTTTAGGGTTTAGGGTTTCGGGTTTCGGGTTTGGCCCCAAAAGTCCCTACATAGGAAGTACTATAAGGTCAAAGTCTTCCCTAGTTGAGGCACATGGACTCTTGGGTTGATGCGGATTTGGGGTCAAAGGGTTTAGGGTTTAGGGCGTTCTTTGGGGAGGTTCAAGGTGTGCTCGTCGCCGGCACTGCCCCAAGCACGCACCAAAGACAGCACTGGCAGGATGAACCATCTGCTGGGGTTCGAGGGTTTTGGGGTTTTAGGGTTCAGGGTTTAGGGCCAAGGCACATGCAACAAGGGCCGGGCCTATTTCAAACCTGCAGACGCATGTGGCCGATCACCCGAAACGCCGCTGAACCAAACCCAACATACGAAACGATTCAAATCAGCCTGGAGAGATCCGCCACAAGGGAGTTCATTGCTACCGATTGGCCACCCACCCCAACTAGTCTTAAAGGAGGTCGCTGGCATCAGAAGCATGTGGTCTAAATAAGGCTGCCAAGTTGCCATAAACTATCGGAAGCTGCACTTTCAGCATGTGCAGCAGCAGTCCGACGCATACCTTTAGGGCTAGGGTTTAGGGTCTAAACCCCTAAACCCCTAAACCCCTAAACCCTAAGCCCCTAAACCCCTAAACCCCTAAACTCCTAAACCCCTAAAGCCCTAAACCCCTTAACCCCTTAACCCCTTGACCCCTAGAAACCCTAGAAACCCTGGAACTCCTAAACCCCTAACCCCTAAACCCCTAAACTCCTAAACCCCTAAACCCCTAAACCCCTAAACCCCTAAACCCCTAAACCCCTAAACCCCTAAACCCCTAAACCCCTAAACCCCTACACCCCTAATCCCCTAAACCCCTAAACCCCTAAACCCCTAAACCCCTAAACCTCGACCCGGCATACAAACGTAATGTGGAGGAAGGGAATCCTACTATTTGGGGTCTGTTTCCCTAGGGCTCCAAGTATACAAAGAACACCTACATTGGGTGTAAAGTCTGTAAACAATACCTACCTTGGGCTATTTGGAGCCTTAGGGTTCGGGAAACCTTAAACCCTAAACCCTAAACCCTCAGGGTTTTGGGGGTTGAGTGCAGGCCAATTTTCGTGAACCCCCCCACATGATCTCATCGGAATCCTAAACCCTAAACCCTGAGTCCTGTCGGCCATGCTTTGGGGCAGCTGGGATTCTTGCAGCCGAGCCGCACCATACCCGAGGCCTAGCAATTTCAAGGGGTTTAGGGTTTAGGGTTTAGGTTTTAGGGTTTAGGGTTTAGGGCTGATGGCCCGTCGCAAGGCCATGAGAGCCCCAAAAGCCCCAAAAATGACGGCACTTACAGCTGTTCATGCTGCACCAAAAATGCCATGAAATGCCGGGATGCAAGCGGTGCCCTTGAGGAACAGGTAGCGTCGGAAGATGGTCTCCTTAATGTGGCAGCATTGATCCCTACCCCCTATTCCTCCCAATTATAGTTCCATTCTAGTATATATGGGGGAGGGGTACTTGATATTGGGGTTTCATATTCGGGGGAAAGGATTGTTCGCAGCATGCTTGCGAACTCTTTGCTCACCCAAACTTCTGGGAGTTTACGAAAATCAGGGACCTCCAATATCGACCCTCAAATAGCAGGATCCCTTCTAAAAAAAACTAAACCCTAAACCCTAAACCCTAAACCCTAAACCCTAAACCCTAAACCCTAAACCCTAAACCCTAAACCCTAAAACCGAAACCCTAAGGACCCCAAGAAGGTGCCCCTAATTTCGGAACCCATCTAAGCGTGCTTTTTTTGCTCCGGTTGCCACGTTTTAAATTCCGGTCGAGGGACCTGGGAGATCATCTCCACCCCTAAACCCTAAACCCTAAACCCTAAACCCTAAACTCTAAACCCTAAACCCCAAACTCTAAACCCTAAACCCTAAACCCGAAAACCCTCACAGCCAAGCTCTTGGCCTGATCAAGCCAGGAGGCGGTCTTCCTGTTTAGGGGCATCGGCGCGCAAAGCCAGAACAAGACCTGGCAGCACCAAGCTTCTGTGATTTAGGGTGTAGGGTTTAGGGTTTAGCGTTTAGGGCTTAGGGTTTTACATGGAGGGTGATCGTAAGTGGCCATGAAGGGGGGCCCTAGCTTGGGTCATATCGATCATCCCTGCAAGACAGAATAAGAGAGTGGCGTGGAGATCATAAGTAGGGTACATCTGGGGGCATTGGTGCAGTTACGGTTGTCACGGTGTCTTGGGTTTATGTAGGGTTGATTTACATCTGAACGTTCGGATGCTGCAACCCTAAACCCTAAACCCTAAACCCTAAACCCTAAACCCTAAACCCTAAACCCAAGTCGACAGCCAGGCGGCATAGAGGCCAAGCATCAGCAGCTCGAAGACGACCTGCGGACAGAAGCCCTTTTTTGTACCTGGACTTTTTGAATGTCCGGAGTTGCCTTAAAGACTAAAGCCTAAACCCTAAACTCCAAACCATACGCCCCGAATCCTGAACCGAATCCTGGGAAACGTTTGGTGCAACTTGCAAAAACACAACCGCCCAAGGGGTACATGCAACCATTCCCCCCCACCCCCCCCTCCGAATCCTAGTTGCAGGTAGTATCTTCCTATCAGAAGGCTAAACTCCGAAACACGAAAGAAAGGAGCTTTACTAGAATTCGGGGGCCTGGAAACCCCCAACCCCGCGCCCACCCCAAAACCCTAAACCCTAATTAAACCCTAATTAAACCCTAATTAAACCCTAATTAAACCCTAATTAAACCCTAATTAAACCCTAAAACCCTAAACCCTAAACCCTAAACCCTACTTCGCGCGCCTTGCCCGCGTAGCCCAAGAACCCGCCCACGGCAGAGGAGAGCGCCATCTTCAGGCTCTCCATCAGCTTCTCAGAGAGGGTGGTGAGAAATGCCTCCTTGGCCGATGTAAAGGTTTAGGGTTTAGGGCTAGGGTTTAGGGTTTAGGGTTGAGGGTTGAGGGTTGAGGGTTTAGGGTTTAGGGTTTAGGGTACAGGGTTTAGGACCTAGGGTTTGGGGCGTTGCTAGACAGAAGCCATTCTGCATCTTTTCGGTCTGTGCATATTCAGATATGTGGTAGTTGCACAACAAGACCTTATCCCCCAAGACAACCCCACAGTCCCCCTAAAACCCATCGGAACCCGAAATTTCAGATCAACCCCTCCATGTACATAAACCCCATAATCCCCTCTTTAATATTTGGCACCCTGAGCTAATCTCCCACGCGGACCTGCAGATCAATGCCCATGTACATAGAACCCGAAGCAGAGAGTTGAGGGTTGAAGGGCTGGGGTGGGGTGGGGTGGGTTGGGGTGGGGTGGGTCACGTGAGATCGATGAGGCTCTGGGACCTTTTGGGTTGTTGGAAAGACCGGGCTTAGAGAGCTTGCAGGGCTCATCATCGCGTTGGGAGTAGCACCGTGTGGAAGTTTCCTTTCGCTACACTCCAAGCAAGCCCTGCGTTTGTCCTGTTTAAGGTTTAGGAGAACAATACCCTTATTTGGGGCCCCGGGGGGCAGGGGGGAGGGGCGCAATTGTTCTGAATTCGGCCTTACAGGCACTACTCCCTCCCTCTCCCCCCTAATCACCTGCAACTTGAACACTTGAGCACCCGAATTGGGCACGCCTAAACCCTAAACCCTAAACCCTAAACCCTAAACCCTAAACCCTAAACGTACTGTATACTGTATCTCAATTACATTCATCCTAGGATGGCCCATAAAACCCTCTGTAAAACCCTAAGGGTCCCTAAATAGGGAATACTTGCTCATTAACGGACCTCCTATTTAGGGACTTTTGGGCCCAAGTATATAATAATGAGGTACATGGACCCTTAGGGGAATCTTCCGAAGTATGGTCCTCTTAAACCCAAGAAGTGAAAACACACATATCCCGAGGGCCTATTTAGAAAAGGGTGTGAATGGTAAAAGGCAGAAATGGCCGGTCTACGTTCACCCCTGAAGGCCTATAAGCTTTACAAATGCGACCACCCGGCCCTAGACCCTAAACCCTAAACCCTAAACCCTAAACCCTAAACCCTAAACCCTAAACCCTGGCGATCATCATGCTGGGAACTCCTGTGAGGTCCATGTATATGGGTAGTTCTCTAAACTGGGGTCCCGTTCTTGGAGGGTCATTACTCTAGAGAGAACACAAAGGGCGCACCATTTTGGAGAACTACCTATAATAAGTTATATCAGTAGGGCACAGGATCCGGTCGGTCAGAGTTTAAAGGGCTTCCAGCGCTCTATAGGAATTTAATCAGATGGCCACTTCTCTAAATCATGGTCCCTTTTGGGGTTACCATTATAAGGGGGCCCCGAATACTGAGGGTACCAAAAAACTACTACTTGCTTAACTCCCCCCCCCCGAGAAGAAACAAAAGAACAAAAAGCCCGGTCTTGCCCGTAGTAAAAGGAAGAATGTTCTGTGTTTTTTAGGGGGTTCTTATGCAAATAGTAGAACAAGGGTTTATGGTGTAGGGTTTCGGCCAAGCTTCGGGCACAGCCAAAGACAAGCTCTTCATGAGGAGCTGCAGTGAGCTTTGGATTCTTGTGTTTGTTCTCCAAAGCTTTAGCTTTGTGACTGCTAAGCCTCTAAGCCAGACAGAAATACGAAATCAAGGTGGGGTTTGCGGACTTGTTCTTGCGGCTATGACGTTGTTGGCTTCCTCCCCTCCCCATTCAAAAGAACGCCGCTACGGCCACGAAAACGACGACGACGACGTCTACAACTACAGCTGCTGCTTCTACGACGTATGGCTACTAGACTACTACGATGACGACCACGACTACTCCGACTCCATGCTACTATGCCTGCCATATTCTATTTGACAACCTCTAAACCCTAAACCCTAAACCCTGAACCCTGAACCCTGAAACCCAGAAACCCAGAAACCCTGAAACCCGAAACCCGTTTCCCGAAACTCCCTGTGGACCCTACACACCCTGCCTTGACCCGCGCCTCCACCTGACGTGCGCCAATCTCGTACAGCTGGATGTCCTGCTGCGAGTTTAGGGTTTAGGGTTAGGGTTTAGGGTTTAGGGTTTAGGGTTTGGGGTTTGGGGTTTTGGGTTTTTGGGTTTTTGGGTTTTGGGGTTTAGGATGTAGGCTCCGACATCTAAGGTTTAGGTCTCAATCTCCCAATCAACCCGGGGCTCATCGTTTCAAATAAAGGCCATGTAGCGTTTGGGGTTTAGGGGTTGAGGGTTTGGGTTTAGGGTTTAGGGTTTAGGGTTTAGGGTTTGGGGTTTAGGGTTTGGGGTTTAGGGTTGTATGAATTTTAAGGCCTAGGGTTTAGGGTTTGAGGGTTGGGGTTCGGGGGTTCGGGGTGCGAAAATGGTAAATGCAAATCCGTCCTCTTGCACGCGGATGGCACCATCCTGGGTCGTACCCAGGCCGGGAATTAATGAATGACAATCGTTTGAGGGTAACCCTAAACCCCAAACCCTAAACCCTTTTCCCTAAACCCTAAACCCTAAAGCTCGCAAGAGGGCGGAAGAAAAATCTTCCGAACTTTTCAAAGATACAAGCCTGTATGTACCCCCTCTACCAACACAGAGTCCCTTTTTTATGAGAATCCTGGAAGAGCCCGCAAACGGAACCCTTTAGGGCTTAGGGTTTGGGGTTTATAGGGACACACACACACACTCTCATACACCCACAAAAGGATAGGGATTACGGTTTAGAGTTTAGGGTTGGGCCTAATGTAATAAGGGAATTCAGTGCATAGGCGCAATGACGATTGTGGCCACACCCAGCACGGCGAAGAGAACCACGGCCAAAGCAGAGAGCACTGAAATGAACCGCGCGAAACAGGCGCAGCAGCTTTCCTTCCCAGCTGCTTAGGGTTTAGGGTTTCGGGTTAAGGGTTTAGGGTTTGGGGTTGAGGGTGGCTTTGAAATCGTGTTGCTTTGGGGGGACATGCAGGGACTATCCATGTCTATTCACCTGGTATGACACTCGACAAAGCCTGCAAACGGCAACTAGACCTCAGAGTAACCTGTGAAGAAAAAGTGCCCGTTTTGGTCTTAAAGGGGCCTATAAGGGAACCTTAACACCAAAAAAGGGAAGACCTACTCTGGGTCCTAGCCCTAAACCCTAAACCCTAAACCCTAAACCCTAAACCCGAAAAAAGGGAGTAAGGGCCAACTCTGCGTCCTAGGCGAATCCTCAAAAGCCCCCCCCATCCCCGTTCACCCTAAACCCTAAACCCTAAACCCTAAACCCTAAACCCTAAACCCTAAACCCTAAACCCTAAACCCTAAACCCATCCCCGTTCCTTCAGGCTCACATCGCACTCTTCACTCCTCAGATTCTCTTGCTTGGGCTTCAGGGCTTGGGGGCTTTAGGGTTTAGGGCTTAGGGTGTATATAGGGTGTAGCGCGTAGGGTCTAGGGTTTAGGGTTTGAGGGTTTGAGGGTTTGAGGGTTTGAGGGTTTGAGGGTTTGAGGGTTTGAGGGTTTGAGGGTTTGAGGGTTAGAGGGTTTGAGGGTTAGGGTTTAGGGTTTGGGGTTTCGGGTTTAGGGTTTGGGGGTTCGGGTTTAGGGTTTAGGGCTTGCTTGGGTTGTCAGGGGCCAAAGGGCTTCAAGGCTGAGCTTTCGTCTCACCTCGAGTTCAGGGATCGGCATTGTGGGGGAGCTTCTGGGGCTTAGCAGCTGCGAGGGTTTTGGGTTTAGGGGATTTAGGGGATTTAGGGGGTTTAGGGGGCTTAGGCGGTCTAGCGGGTTTAGGGGGTTTAGGGTGTCTAGGGGGTTCAGGGGGTTTAGGGCTAAGGGTTTAGGATGTCGGGTTTAGGGTTTCGGGTTTAAGGTTGTGCATGCAATAAGCCACTCAATCCCGAAGTTGCTTCAAGCCCCTAGCTGGAGAAACCTTGTAATGTAAAAAGGGTACGTCTACAGAAGCCATGATGCATATTTGCCAGCCTGACCTTATATGCCCTCTCTTTGACTGCCCCCTAAACCCCATAAACCCCGTAAACCCGTAAACCCCCCAAACCCCCTTCAACCCTCTTCAACCCCCTTAAACCCCATAAACCCCCTAGAAACCTTTCTGTTGCATCCAGACTCCTCCCTAAACCCTAAACCCTAAACCTTAAACCCCTATACCGTCCACCTCGTAGTCTTTCAGACGAGGCCGCGGTAGCCGCCAGAGTGGGCTGGCTCCAGCATCCATCTCGTCGAAGCCGTTTGGGGTGCCTTTTAGAGCAGGTTTGGAGGTTGCGGGGTTTGTTTAGGGTTTAGGGTTTAGGGTTTCGGGTTTGGGGTTTAGGGTTTAGGGCTTGGGGCTTTGGGGTCTTGGGTTGCTGTGCCACCTTGTGGGGCTTTTGGGCTGAGGGTTGTGGCGGATCTATGTGCTGCGCACTTGCGTGAAGAGTTATTCTAGGTAGGGTTTAGGGTTTAGGGTTTAGGGTTTGGGGTTTAGGGTTTAGGGTTCAGGGTTGGGGGTTCTGGGGTTCACGGGTTCAGGGTGTAGGGTGAAGCTGCTCACAACTCAGATGTGAGGGTTTGTATGGGGTAAAGGCCTTAGACTTGGGGTTGGGCAAACATAAACTACTACTTTCTTTCTCGCTTGGAACTCCACGGCAAGTATGGCTGTAGAATTCTTAGTGCTTCGGATTCAGGGGAAAGCCCCTAAACCCTAAACCCCAAACCCTAGACCCTAAACCCTAAAACCTAAACCCTAAACCCTAAACCCTAAACCCTAAACCCTAAACCCTAAACCCTAAACCCTAAACCCTAACTTTCGCCGGCCGTCCTGCTGCGACCAGCTCCTCGGCATCCGAGGACGCCTGGAAGAGGCGGCATCTCCTGGAGAAACACAGCTGACCCCCAGAAATGCTACAAGGGGTTTAGGATTTAGGGCTAGGGTTGAGGGTTTAGGGTTTAGGGTTTAGGGTCTAGGGTCTAGGGTTTAGGGTTTAGGGTTTAGGGTTTGGGGCTAGGGTTTAGAGTTAAAGGTTTAGGGTTACAGGTTTAGGGCTTAGGGCTTAGGGTTTAGAACTAGTCTGAACCCTGAAACCTTATTTATCGGATCCCATCAATGCTTGCTAGGGCTACCCTAAACCCCTCAGTAGCTGAGGGGCTGCCTGGGCTTTAGGGTCTGGGGGTGCACGCCTGATCGGCTCAATAGTCACTTCTCTGAAGTATGGTCCCTTTCCTAGTTCATGGTTGGGATAATCGTAAAACTTACATGTTTATCCCTTATTGGGTTTAAGTACCCTTAAAAATGTAAAATGTTACCCAACTATGACAAAGTTTCGGGGTTACTAGTAGAAGGCGGCTCCTGTCATTTAGTACCCAAGAAGGGACCATCATTTTGAGAACTGGCCATAGAAAGGGCTCATTGTGTACATGGGCGTGTAGCGGGCTGATAAAAAGGATTTTGGGGCGTGTAGGGGTGTCTATGAGATTTCTTTAGATAACTGGTGTGTGTATATGCATATATTTATGAGAAGCCTTCATCTAGTAAGTACCCTTGGTTCATGGAAGGGCGTTATCCTCATGCCTGCTTATCAGGTGTCCAGGGGTATCTATGTAGAGACGTCCACATGGACCCACGATGGATTTCGCCTTGGTCCTCGTTTTAGGCATCTCATTTCTGCAGCGTTCTCATTGTCGGAATGCCACACGCACCGGGGTGCATTCATGCACACATTCTGGAGCTAGCGGTGAGGCAAGACAGCAAAACATGCTCCTGCCACGGAAGAACGTGAAAGCGTGGGCAACAGGCAGTAAACCCTGAATGGTTACAGGGGGCCGTGAGGTTACTGTCCGCACATTCTTCGCAGGAAAGTACTCCGCAATGTTCCGTGAAACAACGGCAGCCTGGACACATCCCTTAGACCTACTTGAAGGTTCATGGTACTGATTAACCAATTATAACTGTACTTATAACCCAAATTATAACTATATATTGGGGCACTTAAGGGGCTTATAAGTACAGTTATAAGTACAGATAGAATTGGTGATTAAGTAACATGAACCTTCAAGTACTGTATATAAAACACCCTAAACCCCGTACCCTCCATTCACCCATCTTGTCGAATCTTTGTGAAGGTCAGCCAGGCTCCGTTCCGAGGCTCAACATGCAAGAAGCCGTGCAAAGCGCTCTGCTTCACGTTGCCATGTGGGTTTAGGGTTTAGGGTTTAGGGTTTAGGGTTTAGGGTTTAGGGTTTAGGGTTTAGGGTTTAGGGTTTAGGGTACGATAAGCTACGCAGAGATCAGCTCCAATAGAGGCAGCAAGCGTTGCAAAGACTACAAGTTGTACGCTGCGTCGAAGTAGGATCAAACGGAGGAACGGTGAATGCAGAGGCAAGCATGGCCCGACGGCAACAAGGCAAAAGCGAGTGGTGTCACTTTGCCCTACCTTACTGGTTCATAGTAGAGAACCTGGGAATTTCCGATGCAGTCTGTCATGGCAACTGCATTTCTAATTCCCAATTCCTTACTGAGAACCAGTAAGGTACAGGAAAGCTGAATTCGTTGTCAAGGAGAATGAAAAAGCAACCGCTGGAGCACTGACTGTGTCGTGGTACAATGCATCGCATCTGGTCCAGCCACGAATCCCCTTGATGCCCAAACACTAAATAGGCTTTCTAGGGTTCAGGCCGCAGAGTTTCGGGTTTACATCTCAACCTGAAACCCAAAACCCAATGATTAAATAAACCATGAATCTGAAACGCTTGCCTTCCCCCTTTCCCAAGTTGGGCCCTGTACAGCCCAATCCACAGCTCTAACCACAACTCTCAGCAGTTCTGGAGACCGGGCTTACGTTAGGGACTTCGGGTTGAACTCTGTCAGAAAGCACTTAGAATTCAATTGAGCTATGTACTGATATGGACATGGGCAAATACTCAGACACAACACAGACTGTAGTGACAATGCAGTAACACTCCCTACAGCTCACCGCCCTTAGAAAAAAAAAGGTGGCTTCGACCCTAAGGGTCCTTGTCCCTATATAGTATACACTGGAGCCCTAAAGCTGCTATATAGGAACCCCTTTCCCTAAACCCTAAACCCTAAACCCTAAACCCTAAACCCTAATATGCTATATAAGTACATGGACCCTTCGGGCTAGAGCTTTCTGTTTTGGGGCCATTTCGTGTCTCGGCTGCAGGCTGGATCGTTGGGCTCGGGGATGTAGGGTTTAGGGTTTGGGGTTTAGGGTTTAGGGTTTAGGGGTTTAGGGTTTAGGGTTTAGGGTTTAGGGTTTAGGGTTTAGGGTTTAGGGTTTAGGGTTTAGGGTTTAGGGTTTAGGGTTTAGGGTTTAGGGTTTAGGGTCCAGGGTTTAGGGCTTAGGGTTTAGGGCTTAGGGCTTAGGGTTTCGGGTTTGGGGTTTCGGGTTTAGGGTTTCGGGTTTAGGTTGGGATGTTCTCCCTTATAATAACAGTCCGTAATAGGGATTCTAGTACACCCTATTAGAATCCCTATTAAGGACTGTTAGTTAGTATCAGGGGGAACATCCCAAGGTTTAGGGCTAATCATGGTTGATCTGCAAGAATCCCAAACCCTGCAAGCGTGACCTCGCGCTCACCAGTGCTCTGGCGGGAACGTTGGGGCCTACATCTTGGTCCATGGATGTGCGTTGCCTTCGGCATCGTGGATAGAACATGGTCAAACTGCCGACCTTCCCTTCCGATGCTGACGATTGCATGCAGGCTTTAGGGTTTGGGGCTTGGGGTTTGGGAAGGTCTAGGGCTCCAAGCATAGAAATAAGACCTACATTAGTTTCTAAAGTCTGTAAATAACTCCTACTTTGGGCTATTTGGAGCCTTAGGGAAGGTCTAGCAGTTCCTCTGCATTGTGGTAATGTCTTCTTGTGCCCACGCTCGGGAGATGCAGAAGTGAGCAATCAATGGCACGTCACTTCTGAACTCCTTCTTCAGCCTTTGAGCAGCTTGCAGGCAAGCACGTCGTGCTCTGGGCGGTTTAGGGTTTAGGGTTTAGGGTTTAGGGTTTGCTACCCTGAGTCTCGGTGGTGATAAGGGATTCTCAGAAATTAGGGGTGCCTCGTTGGGGTCCTTATTATAAGGGGATCCTACTATTTGCGGAATTTGGGGGGTCTGCAGTATATTCGGGGTCCCTGATTCTCGTAAACTCCCACATGTCTTCTACACTTGGCCTGTGAGCAACCAAGGGTTTAGGGTTTAGGGTTTAGGGTTTAGGGTCAACTAACACTCCGAACTGTTACGAACTGACACCGCTTGCTGCAGCGCTGGGGGCACTCGAGCTGGCATTTGCTACGGCACAACCTGATGTCCCAAGCTCTACCAAGAGCAACCCTTACCTTTTCAAAGATGGGTTGAGGGTTTAGGGTTTAAGGTTTCAGGTTTAGAGTTTAGGGGTTTAGGGTTTAGGGTTTCGGGTTTCGGGTTTAGGGTTTAGGGTATCCATTCGTCTAGCCAGATTTTCGCTCTGGAACAAGAAGGCTGGGAGGTATCTAGAAGAGGGCCCCCATTATAACCCCCTAACATCGTCGATTCCCCTTTTTTTCTCCCGTGCCCCGCGGTTCTTTTTTTCCGAAACCGGATCTCTGTGGACTGCTCTAGGTAGGGCTTTTGGGGCACATGCTTCTGCATCCTTGGCTGTGCTGAAACTTGGCTTAGATTCGCCCCCGCTCCCTGCAGCCTTTTCGTGGGAACCTTCGCATGGTTCTTGGTTCCCACCATGGGGAGGGGATGGCGGAGCAAAGTCATGTCTTGCTTTTCTGAGTTTAGGGTTTAGGGTTTAGGGTCTCTTCCTTGGGTGCTTTCACATGAGTCAGGACTTGTCTACCGAGCGAAGGCCTACAACACAGGCCACTGGTCGAAGATGCTTGACAAGAAGCCAGATACGCCAGAGGAGAATAGATACAAGGAGGGGAAACCCCCTTTCATAAGTAGAGTTATAAATGCCCCAAAAATGGGTTATAAGGATCCTAACTTTAGATTATAAGTCCCTTAACTATAGTTAGTATAGTAAACCCTAAACCCTAAACCCTAAACCCTCCTTGTAACGGTCATGGATAGTACCATCTTTTGGATCATGACTTTGCTTTCAGTCCGGTTCTCATCTTGCAGCTCCCAAGAGCCATCACTACCATTTATGGTTCCGCTTCCCTAGGCCCTAAACCCTAAACCCTAAACCCTAAACCCTAAACCCATCGATTGGAGCCATCACTACCATTTTTGGTTCCGCTTCCTCGGGACGGCCACTACCAGGCGCCGAGGATCTGATGACGGGCGGAGGGTTGTGGATGCCGTGGAAATCCTGTCCTGCGACCGTCAGGGTTTCCCTAAACCCTGAACCCTAAACCCTAAACCCTAAACCCTAAACCCTATAGGGTTTGGGGTTTCAGGGTTTCCAGGATGGATTATACGGCCTATGACACCCCTACAACCTCTTTAAGCAAAAGGGCCCTTTTTAGAGATTGACTATGATCATCTGAAAAAAAGAGCTCCTTTAAAGGGGGTTGATTATGGTCCAGGATGGGCTGTTCAACCCTATAACCTCTTTATAGAGAGGGGCCCTTTTAGAGGGTTGATTTGTGGGAATGCTAAGACCTATGAAATCCTATAAGCTCGTTAAAGAAAGGGGCCCTTTGAGAGGGTTGCAACCTCTTAAAGAAGGGGCCCCTTTAGAGGGTTGAATTTGGGGGTTATAAGGCCTGTTACACCCCATAACCTCTATAAAAAGAGGCCCGTTTAGAAGGTTGTTTATGGTCCAGATGGGCTATTCAACCCTCTAACCTCTCAAAATTCTAAGGCCGAAGAGACCATCCTGGTTTGCTTTGTTCGTCATGAGCTTTCGCTTGCCATTCTAGGGTCTCCGGCCTCAGTAACTTCATCCGTCACCCCCAGCCAGCCCTAAACCCAAAATCCTGAACCCTTTTTGAACTCTTGAAATTTCTTACTTCTCCAATAGCCAAGGAACCAAAAGGTTAGAGCTTGTCTACTCCCCGGTGAGTAAGACAAAGGCCCAACAGTTTTAAACGTCCATTCGTTGGGCGGGTAATGAAAATTTCGTGGTGTCGGAAAGCCCTAAACCCTAAACCCTAAACCCTAAACCCTAAACAGAAGGCCTCCATCTGCTCCATGAGTTGCGGCATCTGACTCATGAAGACCTGGTGCGCTGATTGCAGTTCGGAGAGCTGCTTCCGCACGTCTCCCACCACCTTCCTCAGATGGCTGCTGGCTTCTGTTTAGGGTTTAGGGTTTAGGGTTAGGGTTTAGGGTTTAGGGTTTAGGGTTTAGGCGCCAAGAGAAGAAGCAGCAGATGATCATAGATAGATGAGAAAGATAGATGAGATGGATATAAATAAAGGTATATGTATATATATATATATATATATACATGGAGGAGCCGGCTGATAACTCCAACAAAGGCATATCAACAGTTCAGAAACTTTGCAACTGTGGAGGCCTAAACCCTAAGCCCTAAGCCCTAAGCCCTAAGCCCTAAACCCTAAACCCTAAACCCTAAACCCTGAACCCTAAACCCTAAACCCTACACCCTAAACCCTGAACCCTGAACCCGTGGCCCAGCAGCTTGGTGGTGAGGACGTCCACTTTCTGAAGCTCGCCACGGAAGCTCATCAGCCCAGCAACCAGCTCTGACATGGAGACGGTGCCATCATCCTGTAGGGTTTAGGGTTTAGGGTTTAGGGTTTAGGGTTTAGGGTTTAGGGTTTAGGGTTTAGGGTTTAGGGTTTAGGGTGTAAACCCCTATAAACCCCTTTAAGCCCCGTGACCCCCCTATAAACCCCTATAACCCCGTATGTTGCACGGGGCACTGGAGTGTCACTGCGAATGAGCTGTTCCAGAGTGGTGGGGCATGGCCCAAAGACTCAGAGACAGCAAACCCTAAACCCTAAACCCTAAACCCTAAACCCTAAACCCTAAACCCTAAAGCCTAAACCTGCCAAAGGCCCGACAGCATGGTGTCCTGCGTTTCGAAAGCCTCGAAAACCCCTGGCCGCGGTTCGACGTACACCTGGGCTATAAGTAGGCCTCACTCCGGAGCGCTAGGGGTCCATGTACCGGTTTAGGGTTTAGGGTTTAGGGTTTAGGGTTTAGGGTTGTCCAGTGCCTAGGGGAACTAAAGGTTAACCTTTTGGATTATAAGGGGATTCTACTACCCCAAAAAGGTTAAAGGTTACCTACTCTACTACTAAGTGTTCTGTGTAGACTGGGCCCAAAGTCCCTCCAAAAGGTGGCACTTTAAGGCCCAAGTATTCCCGATTTAGGTACCCTAAACCCTAAACGGACTCTAAAACCCTAAACCCTAAACCCTAAACCCTAAACCCTAAACCCTAAACCCTAAACCCTAAACCCTACTTAGGTACATGGACCTTAGGGAACCCCTCTTTTTCAGGGCCGGGTGCCGAACTATTCCGTCCTGCAGAGGCGGGCAGAGATGTGGCCGGGATCGTGCCATGCTCTACAGGGCTCTAAAGACAGCGCAAAACCCTAAACCCTAAACCCTAAACCCTAAACCCTAAACCCTAAACCTCTACAGTGTGTGTGTGTGTGTGTGACATCTAAACTTAGGCGGAAAGTGACCCTGCCCAGGCACGTCCAAGTCATCAAGAATCATTCGGACGTCGCTGTTCCGAATTGCCTCCATCTCCAGCGAAACAAAGGGTTCACGTATTAGTTGCACCGCGTAGAAAGTCTGTGTCAGGACTGTTACAAGTCTGTAATGGGGTATGCGTCAGGCTTGCAGGGGGGTCAAAAACCCTAAACCCTAAACCCTAAAGGAGATAAAGGTTGAACAACCTCGGCCTTTTTAGCTTCCAGATACTGTGTATCTCAGGGTCTAGCAAGGCTTCAGGCGGCTGCAAGTGAAGACGATCAAGGCCTTTTGTGGCACCTCTTGCAGCTGGTAGGCTAAACCCTAAACCCTAAACCCTAAACCCTAAACCCTAAACCCTAAACCCCCTGCACATTGAGACTCCCCGGACCTGTGGCCCAAACATCAACCCTGAACCCAAAGCCCTGCATCCTTGAGCCTTTCTAAAGACTTGACTGCCAACCCTAAACCCTAAACCCTAAACCCTAAACCCTAAACCCTAAATCCTAAATCCTAAACCCTAAGCCCCATAAAGACTCAACTGCTCACACGTCTTCCTGGAGGAACTCCTCTTCAGTCAGGAACAGCTCTTGCTCCATCTGATCGGTGGAGGAGGTCGGTGACGGCGACTCGTCCGACCGGAAGCTGTTCGAGCTGAAGCCTCTCCTTGATGTGTAGCTAGGGTTTACGGTTTAGGGTTTAGGGTTACAGTAAGGGTTAAGGGCTCAGGGCTAAGGGCTAAGGGTTAAGGGTTTAGGGTATAGGGTATAGGGTTTAGGGTTTGGGTGTTGGGTAAAATGTTCCTAAATATGATCCTCTTGAACACAATAAGAGAAAATATATCAAGTATCCCAATGGCCTACTTAGTCCTTGATGTGTAGAGATTGTGCTGGGCCCTTTGAAAGCCTACCACTATGGTGTTTGACGTGTAGTTGCAGGAGCTTCAAAGGGCCCAGAACCCTAAACCCTAAACCCTAAACCCTAAACCCTGAAACCTTGTGCTCTCCTAGCCTCCTGCCCCAATCATCCCTGTAGGGCCCTCCCTCACATGATTCCCTGGATCATGCTCAAAATGCAAAAAAAGACCTCCGGCTTGAGGCATGCTTCTTGATGCTTCTTGATGCTACATAGTGAAGTAGCTAAGTCATCTGCGGACGGAGCTAAACCCTAAAGCCTAAACCCCAAACCCTAAACCCTAAACCCTAAACCCCAAACCCTAAACCCTAAACCCCAAACCCTAGCATCTCATGGTGCCCCTGCCCAGTCCTCATCATCGCGCCAAAGGATTCCCCTCCTTGCCGTGCCTTGCGCACCTGTTGGGGGGGGGGGGGGTCGCTTGGTTTAGGGTTTAGGGTTTAGGGTTTAGGATTTAGGGTTTAGGGGGTTTATAGGGTTTGGGGTGGTAGTTTTGTTGAGAGGGGGATTTGGTGTTAGGAAATTTTCTGTGCTGCTGCCAATCCCCCCCCCCCCCACCCCTTTGCTTGCGCACGCACCCCCGGACGTAGCACCGTTCCGATCGACACAATGAGCTGCACTACGCTAGGATTGGCGTTGAAACCCTCTGAATATATATTCCTGAATATGACCCTCTTAAACCCAAATAAGGGAAAACAGGACATGTCCCAAGGGCCTACCTAGATTTCTACTGACTCCACACTCCCTAAACCCTAAACCCTAAACCCTAAACCCTAAACCCTAAACCCCTGCTTGCAGGAGCGATCCTTCTCAGAGATGCAAAGAACCAGCTTCGCAAGCTGCTCCGTCATGTAGTTGGACCTTACTCGTCTGCCAGGACAGGCTGTTCTACCCCATAAACCCCCTAAACCCAAAACCCAAAACCCTAATCCCCCTTAAAAGGGCTCTTTATAGGGTTGACTATGGGGATTATAAGGCCCAAAAGCCCAGCCTGATGAAGAGAGGAGTCAGCCCTCAGGTCATAGACGAGTCGGAGTGGTGGGTCGTAAGGTTTGCTGTCGTGTGTCGTTTAGGGTTTAGGGTTTAGGGTTTAGGGTTTAGGGTTTAGGGTTTAGGGTTTAGGGTTTAGGGTTTAGGGTTTAGGGTTTAGGGTTTAGGGAAGACCCAGGAGTAACCTAGGAATAAAAGGGCATCCTTGTTTGGCCTTAAGGGGATTATAAGGGAACCCCAACCCCCAACCCGAAAGAAAGGAAATAAGGGCCTACTCCGGGTCCTAGGTGTGGTTGCCTCGCACTATCTCACACTTTCATGTCAAGCCTGTGTCTTCAAGCTACATACCAAATATATACAAGCTTTCGCGGGTTGTTCGTGTACAAAGGCTGTCAAGATGCCCTTGACAGCCCAAAGCTGCCTTGGGGACCACATGAACCCAAATTTAGGGTTTAGGGTTTAGGGTTTAGGGTAGGGTCATACCCTCTACTACTATAATCTGTCGCCAAGGCAAATGAACCCTAAATTGGGGTCATATACCCTCTGCTACTACAATCCCTATTCAGGTATAATATGAACTCCAAACCCTTTTTTGGGGATCATCTGCCAGGAGGCTCATAGGCTTGCGCATACTTGCGGTGTATCTCTTGCTCCTTCAGGCCGTTCATGGTGGCCTCGACGAAGATGCCTAGGCGCGCGGAAGGCAAGATGGGGCTCGCAGGCTGAGTCTTCCAGGGGAGGAAAGTTCTAACCTTTTAGAGTTTAGGGTGTAGGGTTTGGCACCCAAATACAGGGATTCAAGAGAGAGCTCCCTTAAACTCTCATGCCCTTTCAAGATCGGGGAGCCTACACTCAAACCCTCCACCCAAAGTCTTGGGCTCCGCGTCTCTAAGGCAAGCAGCGGCAGAGTTCACTTGGTGCAAGCCACAAGAAGCCACCCTAAACCCTAAACCCTAAACCCTAAGCCCTAAACCCTAAACCCTAAACCCTAAACCCTAAGGGTTAAGAGCCCTCCGTGGCCGTTTCATGGTGCCCAACATGGGACAGATTTTTTTGCCACAATTGGCCCACAAAGGGTTCTGGAGGTTCTCATGTGGGGTGGTTGGTGAGAAAGAACTCGACATGTTGATGACTTCCTCACAGCCTGCATATCGTACGACCACCACCCCGCCCCCCCCCCCCCTCTGGCATTTTGGCCCTCTCTTTCTTTAACTTCTTCATCTCTTTCTTTCGTGGGGCAAAGGGCGAGAGGGCTCTTTCTCTCTCTGTCTCTCTCTCTTTTTCTGTTCCCCTCTCCCGCCTTCTCTCTACGGGCAGGCGATTGGGTGCTAGCAGGAGCAATCTGCTGACGAGCTGCCCGTGATGATGTTGAACATGCCGAAGATTGTGCAAACCATGCAGAAGGAGTAGAACAGGTAGAACGGCCACCCGTAGCCATCACTCCAAATGGCCCTTGGCAGCTTGCCATTCCAGTCTCTCGGGCCCCAAGCCGCCCCACCCCCACCCTTCCTCAGGGTACCCCCCGCCTAGACCCTAAACCCTAAACCCTAGACCCTAAACCCTCCCCATCCTCTTAACTGTCATCATTTTGGAGGTCTCACCTTCTTCGTGTGTAGGGGGCAACTGTCATCATTTTGGAGGTCTCACCTTCTTCGTGTGTAGGGGGCATCCGCGGGAGATCTGGTGGCGTTGGGGGGAGGGCTCTACAATTCCATGTATACTGCACATAACCAACTACCAACATGTATACATGTATGTATATACATATATATATATATAGATATAGATAAAGATATAGATATAGATATGCAGCAGAGATGCCATCCAAACTATTGTAAAGACCCTACCTGAACAGACTTAACGCCAGGCTAGATGCGCAGAAGTCCCTGTGGTGCCTATGGAGGCGCAACGTTGGCTTTTGCTCAGCTCGCACGACCACTGCATAACGCTTTTTTCCGCATCAGGACCACTCCCCCCTAACCTATCTAGGTCCTGAATAAAGCCCTACCCTAAGGGTCCATGTACCTTCCTCACATATAGTATATAAATATAGTAGATACTGGAGCCCTAAAGCTACTATATAGGAACACCCTTAAGCCCCAAGCATATACCATATAGGTACATGGACTCTTAGGGCTATGCCACTATGGCCCAACCCAGAACCCCTAAACCCTAAACCCTAAACCCTAAACCCTAGACCCTAAACCCTAAACCCTACACCCTGAAACCGAAGCCGAGAGTCGTCAGAGATCTTCCACCGGTAGAGGTGCAGTCGCCGATCATGCAGCGAAAGATTGTAAACATGCAGGTAAGAACCGAACTGCAATACTCCTGTCCATACCTGAGGCAGCACGGTGTACTGACCTTTCAGTGCCTTTCAGTGTTGAGGACATAGTACGCCAGCATTGAGAAGCTACAGATGTAAAGCAGTGCATGTACTACTTACAACTTGCCATCGCTGCTAACTGGTTGCTCTGGCTTCTGCTGAAGCTGTTGCAGCTGATGTTCCTTCTTTTTTGTCTGGTTGATTGGAGGCTTGGTTGTTGTCGTTGACTGTTGGTTGCAGTTTCCATCAAGGGTTCACCCTAAACCCCAAACCCAACATCGTCTCTGCCAGAACGCCTCGCATTGTTCAACGAGTTGTTGCAAGTAAGTTGGCTGATGTTTCCCAGAAGCCCCTAGACCTTACAACCGTACTTCCCTTCAAAACCTGGCATACAAACCAAGAGCACGCCCCAACCTTTCATCTCTGCAGTGTAGGGTCTAGGGTCTAGGGTCTAGGGTCTAGGGTCTAGGGTCTAGGGTCTAGGGTCTAGGGTCTAGGGTCTAGGGTTTAGGGTTTAGGGTTTAGGGTTTAGGGCTCATTCCATGCCGGGCTGCATGTCGCTGATGGTTGGACAACCAACCGGCGTCGCTGCAAAGGGGTCCAAGGTGTCCGGATGCCCACAAACCTCACTCCAAGCAACAATAATCAGCCCCCCCCCCCCCCCTAATATTAAACCACCATGTTTAGGGTGTCGGGTTTGGGTTTGGGTGGTTAGGGTTTAGGCTATTGGACGGGTTTTTACTTTTTCGGGGGGTAGGGGGGTTTTATACTAGGGGGAGAGGATTACTCTTGTGTAGGGTTCAGGATTAGGGGTTAAGGATTTGGGGGTTTCCGAAATTAGGGGTAACCTATTAGAAGGGAATCCTACTATTTGGGGGTGTGTATTACTCTTGTGTAGTGTTTAGGGTTTAGGTGTAGGGCTTAGAGTTTAGGGTTCTTGTCTGGGCTTTGGGTGGGTTAGTACTGCAAGGTATATCGTGAGGGTTTCTTGAAAGGCAAGTATGGTCAAACTCACGCGGTTTCTCACTCTTTTGGCCGGGTTTAGGGTTTCGGGTTTGGGGTTTAGGGCTCCAGCATGATTTAAAGGAGAACCTTGGTGGGGAGGTGCAGTTGGTAGGGGTGGAGAGGATGGTATGATAACCCCAGACCCTCCCCCATGAACCCCGAAGTACTCTCAGCTTCCGAGATTCTGTTCCTGCTGCACTCTGAACGGCGAAGGTCGTGACAGCTGCACGCATACCTCAAACTTCCGACAGTCTGCGCCCTCGGTAGTTGCCCCCAAACCCGATAAACTACTACTTGCTTAAGAACCCCCAAAAGCAAAAGATAATAATCCCTAAATGCCTATAGTGCCTGTAAAGAAGAAATGTGTACATGTTTGGGCGGTTCTTAAGCAGTTACCATGCCCATAGAGAGTACGCTCCCACGCCCACTGCAGTTCAAGAAGTCCGATGGACATACTGATCTTTGTACTTCGTCGGGCTTGCGAACCTTTGGGGGGTCCAGGTGCATGGGCCGTACCTGGAGAAACAAAACTTCGAATGAAACTGATTCTTACTTGGCCAAGGACCAAGGGATAAAGAAAGGTTAAATTTGAAGTTCAGCTATTGGCTAAGTAAGGTGACTGGGCGGTGAGCTCGTGAAGACCCGCGAATTTCAGGTCAGGGCTGTAGGATTTCGGTTTCGGTGCGTGTTGCTTGGAGGTGATGGTACTCGGACAAGAGCTCAGTGCTCCTTACATAGATTTGGAAGTCTGCACACACGCATTCTACATTGTCGTGACCAAAATCCAGCACTAGATTTGGAGGAGCATGCAGGTGCTGGTTCTACTCGACCCAAGGGTAACCTAGGAATTAGAAGGGTGCCCTTTTTGGTTTAAAGGGGCTCTGAAGTGAACCTAAAGCCCCGAGAAAAGGGAATAAGGGCCTAGTCTGGGTCTTATAGATATAAGTGGCATGGACCTTTATGTATTATTTGACGTTCTCTCTTGTTTTGTATTTAAAAACCTATAAACAAACTAAATCCAAGAAACCTGAAGCACAAATTCACCAATTTCGTTCTCTTAGGGTTTAGGGTTTACGATTTATAATTTACTCTTTTTTGATGTGAACGTACAGACGCAGTCAGATGTTGGCAACGAATACTAGCTATCACTTCTGCTCTTGCGTGGGGGATGATCCAAGCGGTCTCTCGGGTCGGGCTGCGCACCGTTGTGCGCACATTGAAGTGTCCTGTCAGCTGTCGTGCCCAATTGTTGCTTGGTGTGGATCGGCAAAGATCACTGCTACTGAAAGAGGCATCTTCTCATGAAGATGCCCTAACTCTTTCAAGACATCTACATTATCATTCAACGCGTACAGACGTCGGTTCGACAACCTGTAAAACTTCGTACTCTTCTTCACAAACTGAAGTGGACGCGAGTCCTGCAGTGCCCTGAACCGTCTCGTGCAGAAAACACCCCCGCAGAAAATCACTGCCTTTACCGCAAGCATTGGAATCATACAACCGCACAACCCGCTACAGTCCACCTCCGCCACGGACGCACCCATGACCGCAGAAGCCACTGCCCCGCCGATAAGGAGCCGACCAAAAAAAAGCAACGACGGCACCCATTGCAAAAGACCTGCGAAAACGTCTCGCGTAATCAGTGACCATCATACAACAATCGGTGAACAATCTTAAGACACTATTTTTGCGGGCAACCAATAGCAACTGGTCGACCAAGCCGATGCCTGAAGACGGCACGGCTGCGGCGCCTCGTAGCTTGTCTTCCTGACTCGGGAAACTGCTGCGGCCGACGCCAAGTCTCGCCAGCTGTCGTGCACAATTGTTGCTTGGTGTGCGTCGGCAAAGATCACTGCTACTGAAAGAGGCTTCTTCTCATGAAGATGCCCTAACTCTTTCAAGACATCTACATTATCATTCAACGCGTACAGACGTCGGTTCGACAATCTGTCGAACTTCGTACTCTTCTTCACAAACTGAAGTGGACGCGAGTCCTGCAGTGCCCTGAACCGTCTCGTGCAGAAAACACTCCCGCAGAAAATCACCTTGAGACACATGCCTTTACCGCAAGCATTGGAATCATGCAGCCGCACAACCCGCTACAGTCCACCTCCGCCACGGACACTCCCATGACCGCAGAAGCCACTGCCCCGCCGAGAAGGAGCCAACAAAAAAAAAGCAACGACAGCACCCATTGCAAAAGACCCGCGAAAACTTCTCGGATAATCAGTGACCATCATACAACAATCGGTGAACAATCTTAAGACACTAACTTTGCGGACAACAAATAGCAACTCGTTGACCAAGCCGATGCCTGAAAACGGCACGGCTCCAGCGCCTCGAAGCTTGTCTTCCTCACTGTGTGTTTTTGAGATTTAAAGGAGAACAAGAGAAGAGAAGGGAGAGAGAAAGGAGAGAGGAGAGATCAACAGGAATGCAACTCTAAATGGAAGAGCAATGAAAAGAATGGAAGAGAAATGAGGACCGGCGAAATGCAAAAATCAGGCAAAGAGAAGATGGTGCTCGTTTTCATCTTTCCTCTGGTTCTTATTTTTCTCTTCTCTTGTTCATTTCCGTTAGAAAAAACAAAAGGAATAACAATGAACATGTAAGCAAACCCAGCTGATGCTCATGATTTTTTCCTTTCTCCCTCTCTCTCTCTCCATATATGGGCGATGGAACGGGTGTCCTTGTTGGGCCGTTTCCTGCATCTTCAAGTGAGGAACCTAAGTGTTTTCTTTTGTTCGTTTGAAGACACAGAAAGCGATTAAAAGGGACGTCCATTTTGGATTGGCAGCCAACCCAGCTGATGCTCATGATTTTGTTTCTCTCTCTCTCTCTATATATATATATATGGGCGATGGAATGGGTGTCCTTGTTGATCGTTTTCTGCATCTTCAAGCGAGGAAAAGGGACACCCCACAAGAAAGCACTTAGGGTGTCCCTTTTGCTCGTTTGAAGACACCGAAAGCGATTAAAAGGGACGCCCGTTTTGGATTGGCAGCCAACCCAGCTGATGCTCATGATTCTCTCTCTCTCTCTCTCTCTCCCTATATATGGGCGATGGAACAGGTGTCCTTTAAGATCGTGTTCTGCATCTTCAAGCGAAGAAAAGGGCACCACAAGAAAACACTTAGGGTGTCCCTTTTGCTCGTTTGAAGACACAGCAAGCGATTAAAAGGGGCGCCCATTTTGGATTGGCAGCAAACCCAGCTGATGCTCATGATTTATCTCTCTCCCCACACATGGGCGATGGAACGGGTGTCCTTTTTGGATCGTTTTCTGCATCTTCAAGCGAAGAAAAGTGACACCACAAGAAAACACTTAGTAAGGGTGCCCCTTTTGCTTGTTTCAAGACACAGAAAGCGATTAAAAGGGACGCCCATTTTGGATCGGCAGCAAACCCAGCTGATGCTCATGATTTATCTCTGTCTATATATGGGCGATGGAACGGGTGTCCTTCCTGATCGTTTTCTGCATCTTCAAGGGAGAAAGAAGGGCACCGCCCAAGAAGGAAACGTAACATCAGATATAGGGAGGGAAATTGAAGAGCTCCTCTCTTTACTTAGTCATTCCCTTTCCTCTCTTCTTATCTGTTGTTTTCTTCGCTTCAAAAAGCAAAATACGGGAAAAGAGATTTCCTGAAGAGGAGGGAGGGCACCTATTGAAGAGCTCCTGTCTTTACTTAGTCATTCCCTTTCCTCTCTTATCCGTTGTTTTATTCGCTTCAAAAAGCAAAATAAGCGAAAAGAGATTTCCTGAAGAGGAGGGAGGGCACCTATCTGTAAAGAGCAATCGTTTAGAGGGGAACAGGAGAAGAGGAGCGAGAGAGAAGGACAGAGGAGAGATACAGGGAATCCAATTTCAATAGAACAGCAAAGAAAAGAATAGAAGAGAGATGAAGAGAGAAGAGGGAGAGACAAAACAAGGCGCAGAGAAGATGGCGCTCTTCTTTATCTATCCTCCCTCCCTTATCTCTCCCTTCCCTCTTTCTTTTCCAGATAAGAACAACTAAAGAGGAATAATTATGAAAAGGAGAAGAGTAAGGAAAGGAGCAGAAGAGATAGGCCGAGAAGAGGGATATGATGAAGTACGGCAAGGTCCACGCGCAACCTCTGCTTACCCTGCCACTGTTTTATCCTGCAAGTTCCTTTCTTGTTGTTCATCAGTCAAAAAGTAACAGAAAGAGAGAAGGGAAAGGGAAGTGAGAGAGGAGAGAGAACAAGGATGCCATTTTTCTGGAAGGGTGCTGGAAAGAAGAGAAGAGACAGGAAGCAAGGAGACGGAGTGACAAAATAAAGCGCAAAGCTCTATATATATCATCTCTCCCTTGTCTCTCCCTATTCCCTTTTGATGGGACGCCCCAGAACTAAAATATTTAAATCCAGGTATTTGAATAATTAAATTCTTTAAATTATTTAAATGGTTGGGTTTCCAGAGGAACCAATGGGTTTGAATAATTAGATTATTTAGATTATTTTGGCGCCTCCTGTGAGCCAAGTCTGTGATGAAGTATGTCCCTTCTCCCCGCGGGCCAAATTTGTGATGAAGTATGTCCCCTCTCCCCGTGGGCCAAATTTGTGATGAAGCATGTCCCCTCTCCCCGTAGGCCAGGTTTGTGATCCAGCCTCCCACCAGCGTGATGAAGTAGGTTCCCTCTCTTTGTGGCTGAAGTATGTCCCCTCGCCCCGTGGGCCATGTTTGTGATCCAGCCCCCCAGCAGCGTGATGAAGTATATCCCCTCTCCCTGTGGGCCAAGTCTGTGATGAAGTATGTCCCTTCTCCCCATGATGAAGTATATTTGGAAGCTGAGAGTCGTGTTTTGGTGTGGTAGATTGTGGTAGATAGAAAGGAAAGGGCATGAGAAAGTAGCGAGAGGAGCTCTTCAATTCCCTTCCTGCTTTATTGCAACACATGCCCCTCTTGTTCTTCCTTTCTTGTGTTTTTTGTCATTTAGAGGGGAACAGGAGAAGAGGAGCGAGAGAGAAGGAGAGGGGAGAGATAACAGGAATCCAATTTCAATGGAATAGCAAAGAAAAGAATAGAAGAGAGATGAATAGAGAAGAGGGAGAGACAAAACGAGGCGCTGAGAAGATGGCACTCTTCTTTATCTATCCTCCCTCCCTTATCTCTCCCTTCCCTCTTTCTTTTCGAAATAAGAACAACTAAAGAGGAAGAATTTATGAAAAGGAGAAGAGTAAGGAAAAGAGCAGAAAAGATAGGCCGAGAAGAGGGACATGATGAAGTACGGCAAGGTCCAAGCGCAAGGAGTCACCCTCTGCTTTACCTTCCACTGCTTTATCATACCTGTCTTGTGCTTTGTCAGTTAAACGGAAACAGAAGGAGAGAAGGGAAAGGGAAGTGAGAGAGGAGAGACAACAAGGAGGCCATTTTAATTTTCTGGAAGGGTACTGAACAGAAGAGAGGAGACAAGAAACAAGGAGACGGAGGAACACAACAAGGCGCAAAGAAGATGGCACTCTTCTTTGTCTATCATCTCTCCCTTC